CTAGTGCCGCACTGGGGCAATGGGGCCAGCGCTGACTGCCAGGGGAGAGTGCCCCCTGCTGGTCCCCCGCCCTGCTCCCAACAGCACAGCGCCACCTAGTGCCGCACTGGGGCAATGGGGCCAGCGCTGACTGCCAGGGAAAAGTGCCCCCCATTGAGCCCCCTGATCCGCTCCCGGCACCCCCGTCCTGCCCAAGGTGGTTTCCCGCCCCAGCCCTCGCTGGCCTGGCCCTGCCTGGCCGAGGGCTCACCGGTGCCAGGGATGGCCGGCAGCTTCAGGCCCTTGCCGGGCGGGGGCTTCCGCAGGTGCTTGAACTTGTCGATGCGGAGGTTCTCCAGGCGGCGCAGGGCCGAGAGCCCCGAGGCGCCCATGGGCTCCCCCGGCGAGGGGTCCTCCAGCGTGGACAGGTCCTCGAAGCTGCCGCCCGGGTTGGCGTTCATCTCCACCCCGCTGTCGTTGTTGTTGGCGCTGCCCAGGGGTGAGCGCTCGCTGCTGCAGGACGACTGCCCACCGGGACTGGGCTGGGGCTTCTGGGGAGACAGGGAACGGGGGGGGGGGCGCCAGCCCCTCATTAGCCACAGCCTCCGAGGAACCCCCTGGCTTCACGCCAACCCCCCGCAGCTCAGGCAATGAGGAATTCCCTCCCCCCGCAGCCCAGAATCCAACCCCCCCATGGCAGGGCCTTGTCCTGGAGCGTTGCAGCCCGGAGCCCCCTCTGCCCAATTTGCCCACCTGCCCCACCCCACTCCGTACCAAGGTGGCCTCGGGCACCATCAGCTTCCCCTCGTCCTTCCTGCCCTCGCCAGTGCAGCCTCCCTCCTTCTCCTGCTTCATGTCTGCGGGGCCCCCCGGGGCAGCCAGCGCCCGGCTCAGCACCGTGTCGCCCCGATGCTTCTTGGTGACGTGGGCGTCGGGGCCGTGCACCGTCTTGACGTGCTTGCGCAGGGAGCTGGGGTCCGTGTAGCGCTTGGTGCAGCCGGGGATCTTGCAGACGTACGGCTTCTGCATGGGGGGGCAAGATGGGGGGGTTAGCCCAGCCCGGGAGACAGCCCCACGGGCACCTCTGGGCGCGGCGAGCTGCCCGCTGGGGAAGGACCACAGGCACCCACCCGCCTGATTCCAAAACTGGGGGTGTCAGCCCCAGGGGAGGCCGGGCACCAACACGGGGAGGGGGCCGTACTGAGGGCATGGAACGTGCCCTGTCGGGAACAGAGGCATTGCCAGACCCGGGGTCCAGCTAGCCCAGTGGCCTGACTGTGCCAGGGGCTGTGGGCCCCAAGGAAGGGGTGGGCGGCAGCAGCCGGGGATCAATCCCCCTGAAGTGTGAGGCTGGCTTCGGCCACGTGGCACCGGGGGCAAATCCCGGAACAGCTGGAGGGTCTTGCTCCAGAGTGTGAGCTCCTCGGGCCGGGCCGGGCTTTGCTCTGGGGCCAGTCGCTGCTGGACCAGGGACTGGGAGTGGCTGGCTCATTACACAAGCAGCTTTGCCTCTCCTGGAATTGACGCCTCCTCATCTCTTATTGGGAGTGGCCCACATCCACCCTGATCGGATCCGCCCTGTCAACACTGGTTCTCCACTTGTGAGGTGACTCCCCTCGCTTCGGGTGTCAGTATATCATGCCAGCAGCTGTAACTTTCACTCCGCAGCCGAAGAAGTGGGTTTTACCCACGAAAGCTTATGCCCAAATAAACCTGTTCGTCTTTAAGGTGCCACCGGACTCCTGGTTGCCTTGGGAGCTCCCTGGAAGAAACCACCACCCAGAGCCAAGAGTGACCAGCTCCTGTTGTCCAGCCTAAAGAAAACCCTGGAGCCATCAGCTTACCCAGAAACAAATCCAGTGTCTCCCCTGAACCATTGTTGTTTCCCTACAACCCCCCCGACCTATGCCCAAGTCAGTGCTCCGCTGCCTGGACCCAAACTCTGCATCCGTTCCCCTGGGACTCCATCTCCTGCCTGATCGGGCTGGGGGCTCTGCCTGGCTCCCGCCCTCCGGACCCTGAGCTCCCACCGTCCCCGGGACCCTCAACCAGCTCAAGCCTCATGGAGTGGGTGAGATCCCCTCCCCCCCCGCTGTTTTCTTTTCTACCGCAGGGATTAACCGTTAATCATGTAACTGTTATGGTGCTTTAGGCTCCCTTGTGTAGTTATCACTAGTAGTCACTAAAGAACTTGTATGGTTCAGCTGGTCGCTTCTCTCTCGCTCTGAACTTTACTCTTTTGTGGCTTTAGCTTCCCTATTCACTCTGCAACAACGCTCCTCGTACCTAAGCTACAGATCCCTGCAGCGCCCAAAATCCTGTGGGGTTTGCTCATCAAGGGGGAGAGCACACGGTGTGTGTGTGATGGTAGCTCCAATGGGAGGGGCCTTGCAGAAGGGAGATGTACAGCTCCGTATGAACACACA